CCCCAAACCCCCAAAACCCCAAAACCCCAAAACCCCAAGAGAAATTTAGGGATTTGACCGTAAAAATTCCAGAATTTAAGAGATGGACTAAGTATTCCATATGAACTGGGATAAGTTGTGGAATTTGAACAGGTCAGTGATGGTGGTTTGGGAGAGATCGCAGGAGACAAAGGAGAGGGAGATGTAGCGGTCGATGTGGTGATTTTGGTCTGAGAATCCGGTCAAGAGGTTTACGAACCTTGAGTCTATTGGAGGGGTTAGAGGAGGTGTTTTTGAGGATTTTGGAGTGGTTTTTAGGGGTTTACTTACTTTCCATATCAGCCCAGTTACTGTAGTCCTTACTGCCTGTCAGATAGAAATCAAGTTCTTCAAATAGGGAGTTTTCAAGCCTATCTCCAAAGTCGACTTCAGTATCGGTAAAGATCTTGCATCATCTGAATCGAATTGTATGGCATTTCTTTGCAGAGACAAACAAGTTCTCAAATTGATCTTTCTCCAGGATAAAGTTATCTAAACTGATCTCGTGAGGGATCCTTGGAAGAACTTTCAATAGGGGCGGAATGTATGGCTCACAGTCTTTTATGCCAAAACTATGACCATTTCAAAAGCCAACTTTCAGACTTTTAACTATAAGTTAGTAGAAACATTACCATTTTGAATCCCATTTTTCAAGAACCTTGATATAATGTTGGGCTGATCGAACAGTTTCAAGTTATAGACATCAATTTTATTTGATATCTGGGAGAGTGCACAATTGGAGACATCTTACTAATTTTTGGCTACCTTCTTCATTAAGGTCAATGTGGATATTTGAATCTTGGTTGAAATCAACCATTGACAAACTAAAATTCACTATATTGTACATTTCTTTAAGTTCTGAATGAGAAAGGACTAGAGACTTTTGATTAATAAGCTCATCCTTATAGTCTATCTCAGTCGATAAATCGTCGATTCTCTGTTCAAGAGAAGCATTATTTTCTTTGAGTTCCTGTATCTGGTGGAACCTTTGCTCACAAACTTCTTCTAAGCTGCACTTTGTATAGTTAAGATCCTGTATCTCATATTTTAAGCCATTGATCTCTCTTTTTAAGGCTTCAATTTCTTGTTTTCTCTCTTCAGCTAGCTTTAAGGCTTCTTTAAATTTATTTTTAATAGGTAAGATCATTTTGGAGTTAATTTCCTCTCGAATTGTAGCCAAACTCAAAGGCTGTCTTGGTCGAGATTCTTGGCCATTATCTCTCATCCTTAAAACTTCAAGGCAATGTTGCTGTTTATAGTAAGCCCTAAGCGTCTCGGATTCGAAGATAGAGTTTAGTAGTGCCTTCGCTCACTTGCTAAGGCTACATCTCTGTTTTAGGTCTCTTGTTATCTTTAATTCTTCAAAGTCATCTAAAAAGTTAATAAAAATGGCTTAATAAAAATACGAATCATTTCCGAAAAGAGTAAGGCCATACTGTTAAGATGCATTGAGATCTGACAGAACTCTTCAAGTTCTGGAAGGAGCTTGACCCAGTCCTGGTCAAGACTGTTCTCTTCCTTAAATTTTCTTATCTTTTGCAATTTATTCTGGGCTATAAATAATGTAACTCCCATCATATTTTTATTTTTCATTGGATCGATAGCTGGTTAACACACATTAAAAGTTATGATCAGGAGCAAGAGCCCAAATGAGAAATGATAAGTAGCTTAGTGAACAGATAGGATGGAATAAACTTCTCCAGCCCTGAATGATTCTACAGAAAGCATGAGCACATGTTCGGAATTTGTTCGAAAATATCTGTCTTTAAGTTATGATGCAAAGATATATAAATTAATAAATGCGTGTTAGCTCAGATTAAAATTCTAATCAGTTCTGACAAGTTGTGATATAAATTGTCTAATGAAGTTTGGATCTATCAGGAGTCGTTTAACCATATCTACATTGGAAGCTCAATGTTGTACATTAAAATATCTAATCTGTGATAATTTAAAATTTTAAGATATGATTCTTATCATTGCTCATTTTATCCATGTAAAATCTTAAAGGATGGACGAAAGTATAATATGTGATGGTTTTAAATGTTAACAAAGGCATACCATCCAATACAAAGCCAACTGGTATGTTTTGATTATCTTGAAACTTGGTAGAAATTTAAAAAATTGAATAAACTTCCTAAATTTCCTCAGTTGGTAATTTTACAAAAATTAAAAATTATGAATCAAAATTTACCACAAGAAAGGGTCCATTTTATAGAAGCAAGTGATGGAATTGGGAAAGCAGTTTGCTCGCTGAAGACCGTATCTTTTCATGTAAAGCATGCTAGAATGTCAGAGTCTAGAGAGTTGTCTGTTTGCCCTTCGATCAGGAATGCCACATATTCTCATTTCGGAGTCCTTGTACATTTCTTTTTAAAATCCATGTTGAATCAGAGATAAAATATTTATAGAATCTTGAGCCAATTTATAACTTCAGTGCAGGGGTTTTGGGGTTTTGGGGTTTTGGGGA